ATAGATAGATAGATAGATAGATAGATAGATAGATAGATAGATAGATATGTTAATATTAGTATATGTGTGAGTTGTGTGAGTATGTGTGCGTGCTTGCATACGTGCATGCGTGTGAGTGTCTGAAACCATGTTACAGCTGCATTCTATAATCCAGGATGATCCAGACCAGACCCACAGCTGTCTCTGCTCCTAATCTCAGACAGTACACGTTTACACACTCGTACACGACACACACACACAAACTCACAAAATCTCACAGTGGTTGGATGCGCATGTAGTCCAGACAGATATAAATCACCCTGCAGCTGCCAGGGCAGAATTAGACCTCCCAAATTCTTTAGTTTTGTGTCATTATATAATTGAAAATACATGCAAAAGGATGTCAGACAAAAGCGTTTACCAGTAAGTGAAGGTGGCTGGTAAGTTGACATGTGAACCAGTTTGGCTTTGAAGGCTCCGTTTTCCCCCAGCACCCACTGCGGAAGTAAAGCATGCAAATCATTGTTACAGCTAATGGACACGCACCATATGCTTTGATGTGAAGTCAGTGGAGATTGTCAGAAAATTCACATCGCCTTGCGGTTCATTTAGCCTCAAACAAATTGCATAACTTTCTAATTAAAATATCTCGGCATACATGAAATGTTGACTCAAAAAGATTCAAAGATATAAAGAAAACTGCTGCTTGACTGGACTTAAAGACCACTCATCAGGACACGAACCCTACTCATTCTGTAAAAAAAAAAAGCTTTTTATATTTGGATATTGTTACTCTTCAGCTGACCCACCTGATGGGGACCACTCTCTTCCTCTGGAGATGGAGGGTCTGTCAGCCTGAACAGTGTTGCTGGTGTCGGCCTCCGACGTCGAATCTTGAAATATGAGAAAGTATATTTTGTATTTTCCACAAGCATATTGCCACTGGGAATGTGTGTGTGAGATCTATTTTCATAATGATAAGTCAGGTGTTAAGCTGTCGACAACAACTCCAGTCATGTGACTTTTATACCGAGCCTGAAGAGGATTTCTCCAGACAGGTATTCCTATCATTATGCAACGACCAGAAAATGATTGTGTCCGGTTGTTTGTGAATGAGGATTTCATTTTCATTTCGCGGCTGGATTATTAATGGTTCAAAATGCAATGATGTTTGTTCCGTTTTTCCTTAACCATCTTTTTTTCTTATTTTCCTTCTTTTTTAGTCCAATCCCCCTTTTGCTCCATAAGCCTTTCACAGAACCACAGAACACAACCTCTGAATAATAAAGACAATAACCTCTACAAAGATAAAGGCCGGGTCTGTTTCTCCACGAGTTGATTGAAAGCCACACTGTTCTTCGTCATTTTGAAGTTCCAAAATCAGTCACAGCCTCCTGTCTAAGACTTTACTGTAAACTTTCAGGTGGAGTGGTATGATCCCTCCATAACTGGAGCACAATTTCAAATCCCCTTTCTTCAAATTGGAAATGGTTATGAAGCAGAATTTGATAGAAATTCGTCTCTGACTCGGTTTTATGATGTGCTGTTGCAAAGGATTGTTTGGAGAAACTTGCAGCCAAACCAATCCCATCTTAGAGTGTGGGCATGTGATGTGTGGGCAGCTTTCACTCTGGAGCAACTCTTACCGCCTCTTACTCCCTTTGTGTGCTGCTTTCATACATATTCATCGGTCAGTCACTTGAAGAAAAACACAATTGAGTTGTTTGGGTAGCGAATGTAAATACAAATTAGAAGACATAACTAGTTAGGAAAAAGTAAGCACGTGAAACTTCTCTTAAACGGATGGACACACACATCCAAGCAAAAAACACAAAGTGTTCCACTGGCTGAGCACCTCTCTGAGTCTTTTGAGTTAGACTGTGTTGTTGACAGACACCAGTGGAGAATGATCCTATTTTCATAAGAAAAAAACCTCAAGCTAGTCCTAGTCAATGTGGCAACAATGACATTTTGATTTCATTTAGATGCGTATGTATCATTTTATCATTTTACCCTGTGAAAGAATTGTGACCTGTGCAGTGGGTGCTGTTTCTCTCATTGATTCTGTTAGGATTACATTCCCAGCCTTTTGCAAGATAAAATAACGACAAGGATTGAACGTTTGTAGCTTACCAGGTTACGTAGATTGTTTATTATTGTTTGTATTAGTTTAGCATTACTAAAAGACAAATAACAATCAAGATGTTTTCTGTAGGTATTGAAAATGCATCTACATTGTCTAAAATTAAATGGTTCAAATCTATTTTTAGATTCACTGTAACTCCACTCCTTTTCCTCATGCAATATGCAAATTATCTAAAAATATCTAAAGGAACCTCTTCTAACTGACACTTTAGTTTTCCCTTTAAAAATACATAAAAATGAGCGTGTAAAGAAACTGAGCCTTAAAATGGCCTCAAGGTGTTTTTGAACTAGATATTCTACACCCAAAATGACTCTGATAGACTAAAATATTCAGAAGGTTTTTAAGAGCTGTACTTTTACAGCACTTTTACAGCACTTTTACAGCACTTTTTTCTGATTAAGTACTTTTATTCTGATTAAATCATCCCTTACTGACAATAGAAATTATGTTTGAACTTAGTCATTCACATTTCATTTGTACAAAAGAGCTGAGGAGAGTGCCTGCTGCAACATAAACTGGTAAAGAAAGTTTGACAGAAAAGGAGAGCAGTGCTAAAAACAGTAAAGCAGAAATTACTAACATAGATTAAATCAAATGTAATTTTCCCATCAATTTTACAGCAGTCATACGCAGATTTCACGTATGACTTATTTTGAACAGACCCACTGAATACATTTTCAGCAGCAATGTTCAGAAGTTAGCGGACCAAATCATCCCGGGACTTCAGAATGCAATGGAAAGTCCCTGGGGCTTAATGTGCCCCATAACCTTGATGAAACATCCTCTCAGCATTAGAAAACATTATTTCTGATTTTAAACATTGACCAGTCTGCCCTTGCCTACAAGTTGATGGAACTGGTTCCTCAGGTCTTTTACATGTAACGTTTGGTAGTTTGAATGCAACGGTTCAGATTTGTTGTCTTTGATCAACAATACTTGGTGGACATTTTACTGTGTTCAACAAAAATGCGTCCAATATTCATGTTTCCAGAAATTAGGACTGGGTGAATTCTACAAATGGCATCTATCCAGGAAGTGGCAAAGTATCCTTGTAAAATGCAGTGTTTACATGCAGTCAAACCAAACATCGCTTGATGAATTGTTACTGAATCTGTGCTTAACGCTGATAACTCTCAAACCCTAACAGACTAATAGAACTGCTCAAACCCAATCATCATTTGACACAAGTCTTGTACAGGGTTGAAGGAAAGTAGGAAACATTTAAGAAGGCCATTCTGAGTGGTAAAGCTCAGATAAGTCACATATTTAATACGTTACCAATGTGACTATTAATTTAAAGTCTTTTCGGTATGGAAACAATATCCCATCTGAAATATGGACCAGATGCTTAAAATATTTAGAACGGTACCCAATGCGTGCTATGCTGTTATAAACCATTAAGTGGATCTGAATATTACAACTTTGTTAGAATTTAGTTTAGTGATTCTGTAGTCATACAGAATGAGGACAGCTGAAAAAAAGTAATATCAGCTTGGTCAGGATAGAAGGAGGCTTCACATTTTACTGTTCTATTATTGTCGGTTCTGTGAGTTTGTAGGAATGCGTTAAAGACCAATGGGTATATTAAATAAGAGCCTGCTTGAGCTTTTGGATGTGAAAATTTGTTTTTGGCTTTAACAGGCCTTGTCCTTGATTTGGGTTTCAGTCACCCACAGCTAATCTCTTCTTCGTTTTAATCAGTTGACTTCTTGCCTTATTTTTTTTTCTCCCTCTTCTTCCCTTGTGTGCTTCATTCAGCTATTTTTCTTCCAGTTCTTCCCGAAACACCTAAAAATGATTCATTCCATCACCGGATTTATTTTTTAAGGTTTTCCCTGTGTCCTTGTCACAGTAAAGTCCTACATTGGGCTATATGAGGCTTAATGAACCCCAGCCTAGCAAATTCTCAGGCAGAAGTAAATTATGCATTTAACACATCCTCAGAGAAAAGAAATGAATGCATTTGTGACTTATTCTAAGAGTTAAAAAATAGTGAACAAAATATATCACAAAGCTATTAGTGGAATGAGGAAAACTTTTCCAGAAGCAATTGTAATATGATTTAAGATGATTGTAACATGATTTGTGTCCAGTTGAGGCTCATTCCACATAACACTAAATCTGTTTTCTTGTCATTGTTGTTGACTGCTTTGCTGAATAACCACTTAATATTAGGGAAAAAAAGGTAATTTGTCACACATACTCGATGTGCAAGTTGTGGATCATAAAACTTATTTTTGAGCTAAACGACAGTTCATCCACAGCTGCATTTTTAGATGGGAGAACATTGCACAAATTCCTTAATCTGTCTGCTGGTCCCATTCATCTTATTTTCAGCAACAGATTACTCCGAACAACATCATTTTGTGCACAGCAGAACATGGAATTATGTCGCCTTTAAGTGCTATTTCCCAAGACATATTATGATTTAGGTAACCTCAGGGGCTGTTGCAATTATCTTTTCCTGAGTTATCAGCTGACAAACTGCCAAAACAGTTTACTTACAAAGCAAAAATACGTAGGTCAAAATGCTTATGGGGAGAATTTGTTGGGATTTATGTGGGGAAGAGTAATAAACAAACACTTACAGGGTATTTTACCGTTCTGTAACGTGAACCCTCCTTGAATACCTAGCAAAAAGCAGTAAATTACCTTAGGAATGTCATTTATATGAGAGGTGTTAGAAATGTTTAACTCCAGACAGTGTTTCAGTAACAGAGTATGTCAATGGTTAGAATTCCCTAATGCGCCCTGATGGCTGTAAACTGCAGATGTGTGAAAACTATTTGAATGGTATTGGGGATTTATTAGTGTGTTCCTACATTTCAGCACAAAAAAACAAGCTTTCCAAACAGATGCCCTATGAAATCTGCCAAACCCTCCTCTGGGGGAGAAAAACAGATTTTCTGACGTGGCACCTGGTCTCCAGTGTGATTTCCCTTTGGGAAGAAGGATTAAGTTGGGAGTATTAACAGCGGAAGAAAAGGACTAAAGTATAGTATTACCAGCAGTTCTTTTCCAAACATGATCTCATTGGTACCTAAACTATTTAAATCTTAACATTAACAAGCTTCATGCGTTGTTGTCTTCACAGTGGCTGTCACACATTGAGCCTCTGCTTCACCATCATCTCAACTGCACTTGTTTTGGGATGATTCAGCCGGAGCTGCAAGTTCAATTTTTTGAAAACGCGCCCGCCTCCTCTTTCCCTCACATGAGTAATAAATGACATCCTCTTGCTTCACATACATGGTTAGGGCTTTTTCTCTCACACACATCTCAATATTAGCTTTCAGTACAGTGCACTGGGCCCCTCTTCCTCCTCCTACGGGCCCTCCATCCCTTTGAAGGTCAGAGATGCCTCATCACTTTTAAGGCTTCAAAAACAGCTCGGTTTAATTTCACTGATAGAGTCACTCTGCTGCCTACAGAGGAATGCTAAGTCAAAAAGTACTGAGAAGTATTGCTGGATAGTTACATAACTGTCTGTAAAGCTTACAGCCAAGGACTCCAGCATCTTAAGTCTGCACGAAGCAAAGTGATTGCAATATAATTCATCAATTCATATTGATAAAGAACAGAGTTAACGGTCGCATTTGAGTTCCACAGATTCAGTGACCCAGGTCTGACCTCCCCGCTGACCACTCCCGTCCCGCCTACATGTCGCCCTCTCGCGCTCACCATCTCCACCTGTCGCGGGTCAAGCTGGATGGGTCCAGAGGAAGGGACGGAGAACTGGATCTTCCTTTTGGCCTCCTTCTCCGCCTCTCGCTCCATCACCTCTGGATCCATGGCATCCAACCGGTCACCTCCGCAACCGCGCGCACGAGTGTCCAACTTTGAAAGTCCAGCTGTGTGCAGTTCCGATATCACTGCACGTGATCTGAATAGCAACCAGAAACTGAAAAATGTGAATTATTATTATTGTTCATTCAATCTGATCAAACGCCAATCGTATCCCTCTTTTCCAACAGCGATGTGGAGTGTGGAGTTCTGTTTGACAGCTTTGCCTGTTTCCTCCCCTCTCACGCTTTTTTCTCCCCCTCCCTCCCACCCTCCCTCCCTCTTTCACAACCCGTATGCGTCTCTCGCTCCTGCTGTGATTACTACGTGACTAGGAGAGGAAAAAATAGCGCAAAAAGGAGTAGTGAAGGTGGGGAGTGCGTGCCGAGGCATGATGATGCTTTCAGGTGCCGTGGGAATGCAGCCCTGAAGTGGCCCAGACAGACGTTGTCGTTGAGATAAACTGAAAGTACATCACTTCTACAACTGCAGCTTGATCTGAATTAACCTTATCTCCCGTTTTTTTTGTAAAACATTTTTAAAACAAACAATGACTGAGAACTGGCAGACCGTCCAGGGTCCATTGACTAATGGGATAGGCACCAGCCCCCCCCATGACCCCATTTGGGAATAAGCCTGCAGAAAATGGATGGATGGATGGTTGGACAATAAGTGAGATTAAGGTTTTTTTTTAAAAACTATTAACAGCATGTTCAAATGACCTATTGCCACTACAGAAATTAAAGAGCAGAAAACTGGTCATGATCTCTTAAATTTCCCAACACATCAAATTCATGCTGTATGCTTATTTCAGAAACTACATAAAGGGTCCATTCCCCACTCCACACCTCTTCACTTCTGCCAGGGTATTTGGGGACATTTGGTAAATTATTACTACTCATTATTTCCAGAAAAGAACATACACTTAACATTGACAGAAGAAGGAAATAAAACTGGGACTAGGGAAAAGCCCTTCAAACTAGCTCCTTCTCTATCTTCTGGCATGTCTTGTGCCTCATTATCATCAATAACAATCTAATAAAGTCATAATCTATATCAATCAAAGACGCAATATCAGTCATTTGACCTTCATTCTTGAGCAAAATAAACCTGTTCTCACTCGGTTGCAATGGACTGTATCATACAGTAAGTATATATATACTCAGTTGGGAAATCATCACCATGGAAACAGTTTTCTTCACAGTGTTAAGTGTTGGCCATGCAGCAGCTGCGATGTGCATAGATTTGAGTGAGTTTTTAAGTATAAGACTGAGGAGAGACAGCGTCAGAGATGATGAATAGATGCAAATATGTACTGAAAAGAGACAAATTTCCTGTCAATTCTGTGTAGGCAGACTACTGTACAGTGGCAACAATGTGTCGATCGACTGGGTAATTAAATGTTTGTGTTCAATGTCAATGTAATGTAAAGATTCTAGTCATAAGTATACACACATTTACATATTCATGATACAAGATGTTGATAAAAGTAAGAAGCAATGATGTGAGGACATCATGTATCCATTTAAAGAGCAGAACCCCTCTACCGGAATCAGGCCGCATGCTTGAAGGTCCCCATTTCTCCCATGTCCATAAATGCACCTTGTGCTGAAGTTTACTTGAAAAATGTTGGTGATTTCTGTAACCTTGGGAAAATTGCTCCTGGCAGAAAGTCCCTGCCTTCTGGGAAAGTTTTTCATACGAAAGATAAGTTCTACTTTGGATATATAAAACAGCCCATCTGTGGAGAGGCTCGACCGTTATCCCTGAAAAAAAAAACACAGTTTTATTAGCATGAGCAACACCATGTCATGCCAGAGAAATGTGTGATACGAGTTGGAAACATCTAGCCTCTCACTTTAAAATTCAGGAAGATTCTTCAATAGTGAGAGAATTTGTATGTTTATATACAATCTCCAAGTTACAATTAATCATGCAGACAGAAGTCGAATGGGAAGAGTTATAAAGAATATCTCTTCTCTTTTATATTATAAATGTCAGAGTTAACAGCAAAAACATTCATAAAGTTATCCAGAAGGATTCTACTACTTGAGTGTTCTTTTAACATTATCAGGATAGATGTTATCTTGTTTTCAACATAGATTAAATGAAACAACACAAGCTATTCTGGTTCAGATAAACCTGGAACACTAATGAAAACAAAGGGCATTGAGGCACGTACCAGGACTCTGAGCGCCCAGCAACACTAAAGACTGGGACTTAAGAGATCAGACAACTCCTACAACCAGAAGCCGATATTTTTTAAAGAACGTGCATGCAGCAAAACGAATCACCTGCAGATATGGACAGCAGAATGGGATTACAAGTTAGGATAACAATGAGATGCAATCATTTGTCATTTTTCTCCCACGCCATTAAGTCTTGTTTTTTAAAATCACCACAAGGGGTTGCCAAATGCTTCCAAAATTTAGTAGATAGAGAGTCACCTCTGTAAGCAACAAAAGATTTTTCAAACAGTAATTCTGAATTTAGAGTTTTAACGGCTGGAATAACCCTAAAATTTAGATAAGTGCATTGAAATAATGAACAAACCTTAACTAACTAATTCAGAAAAGACCTCAGTGCATATGAAACCTGTGTGTTTACTGGAAACATACTGTGTTGTAGTAACTTTGTATTACCAGCAGATGTCCCTCACCTACAACCGGAGAAAAAAGCAAATCACCTTAGAAAGTCTGGCCCTCTTTTGACTTCAGCATTCAAATTTTCTTCCAAGGCTATGTCCTTTAAACAGCGTGAAAGACAAATATTTTGTTTGTTTGTGTATTTGTTGTTTTATATAAACTGCCTTGAGCCTCCACAATTTTATATTTCACTTGTATCCTTATTGGCCATGAAATCAGCCAAGAATCAGCAAGATGCCTTTTTTCTCGAATTGTCTATTAGAAATTAAGTCTAAAGACATCCAGCATTAAACATAAAAAGTATTTCCATTGTAAAACTAATTTCATTGGTTTGCATTTAGGATAAAGCTGAATTACAAATCCTTCTCATACCTTTTCACCGTCCTGTGCAGGCAGAAGTGGCCCCCTTACTGCCTTCATTGTAGTTAAAACTGATTTTTCTTAATCATCTCAAGTTTGTTTGACCTACAATTTTTCTACTTACATTAGGAACCTTTTTTCTGGAATGAGATCACATAAAAATATCATCATTGTAGTATATGGAGTTGTCCCAAAAATAGATCATATGAAATAACAAAAATGGAAAACCGTAATGGTGCTGTTGATAAACTTAAACATGCTTTATGTGTGTGGTCACTGCTGGCCTTGGCTACATTGTTATTACAGGATGAGTCAGGAGCAGGTGCTCAAATATGTTTTTTTTGTGTGAAAATACATAGATTCTGCTGTGGTCCGTATTGTATAGATGAATAACACCACAGTGATGATAAGCCTGCTCTCTTTGGCTTTCACTCTCATTATTTCCTCGCTTTTTTTCCTTGTCTTGCCCCATCTTCTGCCCCCTCTCTGCAATCTGTGCCTCTGCCACCTTTGGCACTAGTCCGCCCACGGGCACCTGTGCCAAGCCTGGCAACACAAACCAAGACTCTCTGCTTAGCTCAGTTCAATTGACTCGTTTAGGCAATTGCACCCTGACTCTGATCTTTATGGCTGTCCCCCGATTCATATCAGGCATTTGTGGACATGGAAGAATTTTTATGACCGTTGAAGCTCCTGATGTTGAATATATGGCTTAGTGCTCTGTTTTTTTTCTTTTTTTGTAACGCTTGTGATATTAATCCTAATTGCATAATTGAAATGAATCATTAGTTTTCCCACAGGGCTGATGTGACTTATTTTGTCATCAGTCTTCTCTTATCCAAAACCATTTGTCCATGTTAAGCTTAATACCAACCAATTCTTGTTTTGATTCAGCTTAATAATATAACTAAATCAATCATAGACTTACTGCAATTATTTCTAGTAAGGGGATTGTTTTTTCTAAAGCTCCTATATGAGATTAACCCCATTTTTCCAAAAGATGGAGGCTAACAGAGGCAGTTTTTTTTTTTTTTCGGTGCCATCCTCTCCTTATTCCATTTTCTCTTTCAGCTCAGTGACAGATGGCGAGTCCTTCTCCCCCAGGGGAAGCCAGTCTTCGTGAATGCAGCCGCATGTCAATCACCGGCTCTCATGTGATGGCTCTTGCCAATGACGTGCCAGCCATATGGGCCTGGCATCAGAGCTGGTATGTAACCCACCCAGTCCTTCCTCTGAGGTGCCACACTCTCCCCTGCGCGCATTCGGGATAGGGGCAGCAGCTTCAGCAGCAGCAGTCAGAGCAGGGTGGCAGGAGAGAGGAGATAAGAGAGAGGTGTGAGAGCAGCCTGCACGAGACATCCGCGCGGGGCGTGTGGATATGATGCCCACCCGGAGAGGGATGGTGTAAACAAACCAGATCTGCCCCATCACCGGAGCTCCGCCACGGAGGTGAGTAGTAGTGCTGCCTCCAACTGACCACAACTCAGGGTTTGCCTTTTCTGTCGGTCAGACATCACGGGGAAATGGAAAACCAGGATATAAGTGTCAGATAGATGGAGATGCATATAGGGCGTCTTTTGGAATAAGAGACAACATCTCTTTTCTCTATCCGGTCTTTTCATCGCCTGAGATAAGATCACATAAGCTGGTAATCGCTTCTTAAGAATCGTTAGATATCGATTGTAGAAGGTGAAGATTAACAGATTCGGTGTCTTTTTTTATCAACATATCTATCAGCAGAAATAAAAACTGATATTTTCTTTTTTATTTCAAATCTATCGTGGGGGGTTATGTTTTATTTGTGATTCTGTGAGAGTGTGTGAGTGTTCCTGCCCGATGCGCGTCAGAGCGCTGTGGGGGTAGAATTCTCCACAGACACACACGGGCTAATTGACAAGGTATTGGTTGGCATTAATTACATTGTGCTTACAAGATTAGAAAAAAAATAGGCTGCGTCCTTGGACTCCACAGCTGAGCACAGAGCGCTGGAAGCTTCCGAGAAGATCTGAAGGTGTTATGGTTTTTCTATTGGCTTTTAATACTATTTTAATACAAAACTTCTGAGTTACCGAATTACTGGTCGAGTTATTTCCAGGAATTTAAAGAGACAAAAGGACACTGAGTAAGTATGACTGCAAACAAACCATGAGAATCCAATGCACGAGCTGTTAATTTGGCCTTGTGACCCGTAAGTGTATTTAATTGGCTTGAAATTGTATGATTTCAATCAAGAAAAGAATATGTTTGTCAATTATAATAGCATAAATCATAAAAGACGCATACATTGAAAACACGTATCACTTGGAGTCTTTTCGTGGATGCGTTAACGAAGACGTCAGATAAAGGTTTTTTTTTCTGTGGCCTGCGTTGACCAAACAGGGTTAATGAACAGATGGCTCTCACTGTCGCATATCAGTGCAGCTCTCCTGACTCCACATTGTCAGTTTTCGGAATTTGAAAATAATATGTCTCAAACAGCCAAAAACATTCGTATCAGAGGCTTTTTTCACACATTTGTTCTAGTTTTATCAAAATTAATCCCAATTCAGACTCAATTTTTTATTCATTTTGTGGTCAACTGTGTTGTCTGATGTGTCCAATATGATTCTCGTCTACGTGGACCTCCAGGGAAACTGTAACCTGTCCCTGGGGATTCAGGCCAAGGTTTGTAGCGCAGGAGTGGACAGGCACGAGGAGGCCGGAGGATGTTTGAGACTGTTGCATTACGCATCTAAATTGGATTTGATCTGATCTGACTGAAAATCGAAAAGAAATTGCACTTAAAATAATAAAATGATCAGGCTTGGAACAGTGATCAAATCCTTGAGCTTTTATTATTCATGCATCATTTGGGGCCTCGTGATGTCCTTCAGACTTACATAACTGAACCCACAGCGTGAAGATAAAAAATAATGTTTTTTTACTTTTTTTAACGTCATGTTTGAATAAGATTGCCCTTTTCCTCTTCTTTGCGTGCATACAAAACGACAGCATTTTTATTTTTTTTTCGCATGGATGGTGGCCCTTCTATTCTAAGATAGGATCTGAAGCAATGTCTTTGAATCTCTATCGAAAAGAACATTCACTTGAAAGATAAAAATGCTTTCTAGGCGTTTGGCTATAGCAATTTCCAGGATATCTGGGGGCTTTTTTGTTTGCGACAAAAGAGGACTAGGCTATAGCCCATTAACTCGTTACACTGTGGCCTGTCCCTTGCCTCTGCAGTATGGGGCTGTGTTTGAGTCCTGGGTTGTGTTGTCTTGCAGGTTGCCTGTGCCACAATGTTGAGCCGTCTGTTCAGCGAGGTGCTGCCGGACGTCCAGAGGCTCGCGGCCGACTGGGTGGACGACGCCGAGGGCGAGGAATGCAAGACCAAGTCCGACCACGAGCGCTGCCACCTGGACGATGACGACCTGGACGACGCGCAGGAGGACAGCAGCCGGGCAGAGTCCGAGATGGCCGGAGACGACGACGACGACGACGACGAGGCCGAGGAAGAGGAGTGCGGGGACGAGAACGGGGAAGACAAACCCAAAAAGCGCGGCCCAAAGAAGCGGAAGATGACCGCGGCCCGGGTGGAACGCTCCAAGATGCGTCGGGTCAAGGCGAACGCGCGGGAGCGCACGCGCATGCACGACTTGAATTCCGCGCTGGACAACCTGCGCAAAGTCGTGCCGTGCTATTCCAAAACGCAGAAACTCTCCAAGATCGAGACGCTGAGACTGGCCAAGAATTACATCCTGGCTCTCGGAGAGATTTTGCGCAACGGGAAACGCCCAGATGTGGTGACCTACGTGCAGATGTTGTGCAAAGGCCTGTCCCAGCCCACCACCAACCTGGTGGCGGGCTGCCTGCAGCTCAACACCAGGAACTTCCTGACCGAGCCGTGCACGGACGGGGCCCGTTTTCACGTGCCCAGCTCTCCCTTCTCCGTCCACCCTTACTCGTACCGGTGCTCCCGGCTGTCCAGCCCTCATTACCAGGCCGGGACCGGCGCGCTCAACCTGAGAGGCCACTCCTACGGCCCCGGGTACGAGGCCTCCTACCCGCCAGGCGGCACGTCCCCCGACTACAGCAGCCCGGACTACGAGGGCCAGCACAGCCCCCCCGGGTGCCTGAACGGGGGGCTCTCTGCCAGGCAGCAGGAGTCCTCCGAGACGGACAGGAACTATCACTACTCTATGCACTACTCCGGACTGACCACTTCTCGCCCCGGCCACAGCTTACCCTTCGGGCCCTCGGGAGCGCGCAGCAGTGGCTCTCACTCAGAAAACATCCCACCTTTCCATGACGTGCACTTACACCACGATAGGGCGCCACCGTACGAGGATCTCAACGCTTTTTTCCACAATTGAGTTGAACGATATACAGCGATCGAACCTTATTGACTTTATCATGACAATCTCATAACGTCTAATATTGTTCAGAAAAACAACTGGAGCTCCCTTAAAAAAAAAAAAAAAAGCAGGTGGCAGAAAGAGTACCCTTCTTATCTTCTGTATTCTACTGATGTCACCCCTAATACTGTTGTACATCCTGTGAAAAGTGTGTCCCAACTGTTATGCTGTATGCAGAATGAGTGCAATTGACATAAATAATGTATAAACCGACAAGAAACATGCTATGACACAAACAAAAGAAATAAAAGTGTTTTATAATTGTCTGAAATGACTGAGCAAATGCTGTGAACGCCAGAAAAAAAAGGGCATTTGCTGTGACTGTCGTCTTAATTAAAGTTGCGTTAAAAAATAGAAATCATAAATGCTTTATTTAGGGATATTTCTTCCCAAATTTGAAGTTTCTCTCAACGAATTTAAAAAGCAGTGCAGGAAACTTGCCTTTCTTTATTCAAAATAATAAGCTTTTTAAAGGGTTATGGTCTAAAGAGGAAGGTCTTCAATGTCAACAAAGTAATCAGGGAATGTGTGTAGTTTTTAGATTTAAGAAGGCTTATAAGCTTTCTATTTTCCCGTATTTTAAACTAATTGAAAAATATTATTTGGGGCTGGCAAAAATACACGTGGGATTTAAACTGATTTAGGGTCAGGTTCAGATCATGACCTTGACCTGTTGCATCGAAAATTTCTGCAGACTATTTCAGACACGACTTGATCTACAGCAATTTCTTTATAATCAAATGCGGAAAAACAGTAAAAGCACTCAGAGAAATATGCTAAAATAACGGAGTGATGCAACTGGTGTTTTATTTTTTGCATTCCTTTTATTTGATATTTCTCCAACTGAACACTCGGTTAATATCAGCCTTATTCGCAACTTCTCGTTCATAAAAGCGCCAAAAAGAGCAGAAAACATTCAGTCGACGTGACTTTATAACTGAGGCCGATTTGGTATCGAGGGATTTAGAATAGAACCACCTGCGAACTGTTCAAATAGCCTAATTCCACAATTCTCGTCTTGTTAATGTTCAAACAATTGAAAAGATATAAAATGAGTCATTGCTGTTTTCGTAGAGCCTTCCATAGGTACAGAGACGGACTGATGAATTGTGCCAGAGAGCAGCTGTGCGGAATCATTTGAAAACGACAATCCAGCAGCTCTCCGCGCATCTGTTGCAGTGTGGGACCTGTCCTTGTGTTTTCGGCCTTAATACGATACCTGTAATAACATCCAGTTAAATCATAGCCTGCATGAAAGAAATATCCCATAAAATAGGTATATGTCTGAAGGGGAGAACTATTCGTGCGCAATGCAAAGAGAAAACCACTCGACACATTCAGTCAAAACGAGGCTATATTATGGTCCAATATGCAAAATCGTCTGGGTTTTCATCTTTCTTTTTTTGGTTTTGTTTTTTTCTTTTCTTAGAAAACCTTTAGTCTCTGTTATTCTGTGACCTAAAATAGAACATGGATCGCGTCTCATTCCTGGACCAGGATGAAGAACAAACACAAGTGACGCATTAAACGAACGTGTTGCAGCACTTTGGGGCCTTGTGGAACCATCCTGGTCTGATTTGCCGGTAAGTAATATGAATGTCAAGCTGTTTAAATAACACATTCATCTTAAGAACAAATGGCAACAGTCAAAAAATATTACAGCAACTTTAAAACACTCAGCACAAATGAGTTTAGGAAATGCTTGAACAACTTGATTTTCCTGCAAAAGAAAGATTCATTCTAAACACTGGATACAATAAAGTACATGCTGCACTAATGGTTTCTTAATATTTTACATTTCTCGTAACACAATATAATATTCGAAAATTAGATCTCGTTTGTCGTAGATCACATGATGCGATGTGGATTTTCAACAGTGAGCAGGGACAGTCTCTTGGACCGATGCCCTGGGTCCCATATGCTGTTGCGGGCATCCAGGGGAAATCAGTACCGGGCACCGGAGGATGGAATCAGTCCACCTCAAACCCCAGCAGGAAAATACATTGTTCAAATAAATAAATAAGCTCAGCGAATCATTGTTGAGTCTGAGCTTGCAAAGCAACATTTTCATTCATTTTTCATATTTCTGTTTGACATCAAACGTCCCTCGTCAAATAAATGAAGAGGCTGAGCAGGTGCAGAATGCGGGGAATCAATGGCCCGTTCGTTTTAAAATGAAAAAGCCTGGTGCTGGCTGAGGGGGCACATGCGAGATCAAGCTCCTATTTGAACAAATCAACACCGATCATGGATGTGCGGAGGAGCAAATAATCCAGAGAAGTTTTATGCTGCTCTTTAGATACATTTTAAATAAGTCCTCATATGAAAAAGGCCAATGGCTCTAAAATACGATGCAAAATTATTTCTATATATCCAACTGGACTAAAATACTGTGGCAACAATTATAACCCTTTAAAGGCCCTAAAATGTAAAACTGACAATCATAAGCATCTATAATTTCTACTGTCAGTCTGCTGGAAAGTGCACTGGTGCTAAATTGAGATTCAAATTTAGAAACACCACATTTGATTTTAATTTGCTGTTAATAAATCAGAATCACCATGGGATTTTTTTTTCTTTTTTTCTTGGACAAGACACTTGTAGATTTTTTTGCTCAAATCTGAACAAAACATTACATAAACTTAAACTGCGTTTTGACATTTTAGTTAAATAGTGAATGCATACCTCTGAACTGCAGTTCAGAGGTATGCATTCAAGGTTTGTGATTAAACCCACATTCACATTATCATATCAAAACGGTTTTTCACAAGAGCACATTGTACACTTTATACCTATTTATCTTGCTTACACACACCATTGGGTGCAATGGTGATACTAATAGAGTTTTTGCTTCCCCTAACTTGCCTTTGCATTTTATTTATCTGCTGACTACTTTATAGAATATACATCTATCCCCAGATAAAGTATCTATCTATCTATCTATCTATCTGAATTGTTGACATTGTTTTTTCATTGTTGTGATGTGAACTTCCAGTCTCTCCCAGGTGAAAGACAGGCCTGACGTCGACTCACTTTCCCCTGCTTTACTTTCTGCTCTAACCTCTCACTTAGCTCGTGGATTTGTTATTGAAGAGGGGTGGCGGCTGGCAGAAGATTTGATGGACGAGCGCGGTGCCAAGTCGCTAAATGTCTGAGCACCAGTAAAGCCAGGGCCCGGCAGAAACCCACCGCCGCGCACGCGCTGCCAGCTGCGCCTGCACGTGGCGGCCAGGCGGCCCCTGCCAAAGTGGCCCTTGTGGGAGGGACCCAGTATTTCTTTCCTAATTCACTCAGCATCTGTTCATTATTCTCCGCCGTTAAGAGGTTGTGTTCACCAGCGCGAGAAGTGACCTTTTTGCTGGTCGTCGGTCACGAGTCTCTGCAGGAGAAGGCACAAAGATCGACGCAAGAATGGAACCCAGCTATAAGAGTGTCTTTTTTTTTAACTGTGTGTGATTTTAAACTCCCGAACCCACCTGTGAGACAGCGGTATTTATAGTAGAAAAAAAAAAAAAAGTAAGCTGATTGCATCTCCCAAAATTATTTCAATTATTGAATATTCAATTATATATCTGTTTACACTGACCCTTTGGTTGAACTATTTACCTCATTCTACAATATGATTTATTTGAAATCGGATTTCCTTGAGCTCCATAGCAGATTTGTGACTTCAAAAGCGGTCTGATAACGAGCTTATTCGGTGTCTGTGACCAATGGAGTTTAAGTGGCACGACTAAAGTGCATAAAACCAATTAGTTGGGTCCTATTTTGGGGGTAATTGTTCAAATGAATGTTTGTAATAATACCATGCAATTACTATAATTAAATAATCCGGTTCAGTTTAACTGTTGAAAAGCGATCAACTGATTATCCAAAATAGTCATCGCACCGCAAACCCAAAGCCATTGGTCCAGGCCCACCGTGTCTAACCCTCCATCTGGACAGTTTCACTCTCATTTATTAGATTAGATTAACATTTTTCTGATTATTTATTTGGGGATTAATCTCACATTAGGCATTTCATGGCTGTAATCAGTGTTATGGATTTACCAAATGAGAGGAAAGAGACATGATGGAAGGCAGAAATAAACCAACATCATTATGACAATTTATGTCCAAAATTAAAAGATGGGAAACAAAAAATTGCTGTCAGGTCAAGATCACTCATTTGAGATCTCCTGTGGCGATATGTGTGCTTCTGGGGGGAAGAGCTCTGTGATGTATATGCAACATGTTTTATTTGTCACTTACTCCCCACCAGTCTAAGAGATCACGTGGACGATTTTGTCTGGCTGCACGCAGAGCTAAAGCTGGGAGTCACCTCCACTGCAGTGGGTACCGGGTGCCACTACATCATGCTCAGCCACCCTCCCACCATTACCGCCCTGCCAGCCTAAGTGCCACGCCTTGGTCTGTGACAAGAGATGAAGCTGGCAAAGGCTAAAATTCCACTGCATCCCTGCAACAACAGCGTGTGTGCACTGTCTGGCATGGATGACTGTACAAACTGTCTTTGTGTGAAACAGGGATGTAAAAAATGAAAAGAAAAAAAAATCAATACGCTTGTGTTAAAGTAATAGCCCTCTCTGTGGTTTAAAATAATAGATCTAAGCACTTAGCGACGAGAGTTCAGCATAAAAGCCTCCAGAATCCAAAAGTGAGGATTTGTTATGTTTGATGCGTTGAAACTAAGTGTGTGTGTGCAGAGTACAGTCTGTGTTGTGCATGGTAGGGTATAGAGGTTGTTGTCACTCTGCACAGATGGTGGGAGAGTTTTTTTTTTTTTTTTTTTTTTTACATTTATTTATTTATTTATTTGCGGGGGGAGTGTGAGGAAATGAGAAGAGGGGCAGAGGAAAAGGGAGAGGAACGGCGAGGAGGAGGGCTGCATCTCTGAAGCTGCCATGCCACGGTCACACGGGCAGCAGTAATTGGCCTCCATATTGAGGGGTTTTGTGGTGCTGCAGGGTGGGCAAACTCCCAGCTGGACCTGTCAGATGGTATTCAATCCAGCTCATTGCCCTCGCTCCTCTGCTCCCTTCTCCTCTCTTTTACCGTCTCCTCTCCTTCTCTGGCATGTTCCCATCTCTCTGCCCCCCTCCTCTCGTGGCCTTTTTACCCATCTTTACAGTCTCCGCTCATCCCAAAGACAAACTTACAGTTTCCTTTTTTTTTTCTATAATCAAACACTCATCACTTATTCCTCTCTCCTCACAGCACTCTCCCCTCCCAGCATAGCACTGTTTCCTTCACTTGTATCTCCTCTTTGCATTCTTTTTTGCAGTTTCTCACTAATGGCACGTGGTCACTTCTGTCTAACACATTCTGTGTCTCAAAGTACAT